CGGTGTTTAACTGTTTCGTCTTTGTCTATTGATACATAGATTTCATTTCATCTTCATTTAAAGTAAAAGCGTCATTACAAAAGAGACCGCAAAGCTCTTTCGAAGCTGGTTCACGTGTCCGATAGTTTTTGTTAGGCTTTCCATTCTCCCGTAGGGCTCAGACCCACGTCAACACAAACAAAATACTGTTATTGCTTGTATCTTGTTTCGACGGAAAATATCAGGAATCTGCTACAAAGGTATGTGTATCGATATTAGGCTCCCCGTTTTCATTTGCGGCTAAGCTTTAATTTAGTGAATGCCTTGTATTTTGTACAACCTTTTCAGGGTAAAAACAAAACAAATGAAATACGAAAAAAAGTGGGCAATGGAACAGTCGATAGTTTTATTTTTATTTTTATTAACACTTTTCTGATGTATAGATGAAGAAGACGTAGCGGATTCATCAAAAAATAAAAAATAAAAAACCACACCCAGTCTATTTCGACGTTTGGATGACTAAAAACAAAAAAACTCGTTTGAAACATCAGTGTTCTTGGCAGGCAGAGGCCGGGATTTTTAAAATGTTGCCCCGCTTGTTTTATGTGATGAAAACAACCCCGATGTGTTTATGATTCGGATATAAGAGAAAACATATTTTAATGATATGCAGCAGTTTTTTTTTCCACAGGAGAAAATCACCCGCTCGGAGGGTGGGGTATATTAGAGTTAGAGTTAGAACCTAACTAAAAATTCCTGCCACTCACAGCCGGCGCCTAACCCCGGATCGGGCCGACGCCCAGTTGGAGCCATTGAGACGGTGAGACAGGGTCAACGCAGAGCATATTTCATCCATCCCGCCGTCCCCCGACACTAGAACTGGCGGCCGCCAGTGAGATGACCACCGGTTCCCTCGGTCGACGGGCTGGGAGCCCGGCTCGATGGCGCCGCGCTCCACCTTGCCCCGGAGCGGTCGGGGGAATGCGGCCTACCATCACCCGGTTTCCTATTACGGGTGAGAGTGCCAAGCACGCCGCCCCAGGCTTAGGTCCCTCCCCGTACAAAGCGAGTTTAACCTGACAATCTTAGGGGCCCGGTCGAACCCCTGCTCGGTGGCGGCGGATTTCTGCATAGTGAGGAGAGCAGTTTAGCTTTTCCTTGGCATAGATGACGTCCATTAACGACAGTGACCACTCACCGTCTAAGCATCGTATGCTTTTTGAGCTACAAAGGAAAAAAAAGAAAGGTTTGTTTATATGGTCTTAGGATTATTTAAAGTCATATCCATATTTAATATACGCGATATAATGTTCAAATGGTAGAGATATTTAAGGTTTTTTTTTTCTATAGTAAAATAAATAACCTAAAATAATCTAAAAGCTACATATATGCGGGGTCACCATAAACCCAGATGCGGTTTTTTCTGAACATCAGCAATATAATCGCCCTACACTATTATTTTAATACATCCTGGTCGAATCAGTAATCACACGTATAATTAGTAAGTATTTTGTTAGCTAGTTAGATTCAACGAAGGTAAAGAAAATATGGAGCAGTACATACATATTTTCTTGAGCCTAGTTTATCTTTATAAAAAATATGGGAAATAGTGTGACGGCCATTATTACACCGCAATACACAGAGTCTGTTTTTGGAGTTTATAATGAAGTACCAATAATTCATTAAAAATAATAATTGAATTTAGTAAAAATATCAACAGAAGATAACCTACATGTGGTATGACACGAATTGAATAAAACTTATACAGTTCACGAAGAGCACATTACACTATCTATGACTTAATAGTATAGTCCTCACTAAAGATAAGTCTGGCTGAGCGACTGTGCCAAGGGAGTTAGCTAGTTACTTAGGAGTATCGTCTGAAGCTCACTGTTCTTTTATCATAATACCTACCGTAAATTTATACTTATAAAGAGATGATGTAATAATTATTTTATAAATGTTTTATCTGTAATTCATTATTTTTCTGTAGTCAGAGATAAGTTGGAAGGTAAGTTTTTTCTACTTAATTGTTGGTACCCTAAAAGGTTATTTCACGGGGCTCAACCTGGCAGGACTTGCTGACACTAGCCCTAACAAGAGTAGCATTGGATTCGAATCGCGACTCACTGAGAAGATCTGGCGAGAGGAAGGTCATTACAGTTGGCGCCATTTTTATGAGTTGTTAAATTCGCCAGCTGTAACTAGAACTAGTTGCAGCAAGCAATAAACATGTCTACTGACAATATATTGAAATTTTCAGCAAATAAATAATAGTTTAAAAAATCTAAGAAAATACGCTTGTATAGAAAATCCAACTAAAAAATAGAAAATAAATTTTAATCAATTTGCCTTTCTACTCATATCTGTTCATAAAATATTTATAACTACTGATACCATGCACCCCACGCTTTTTTTTACAATAAAATCATTTTTTCTTCGCTATTTTTAATTCAAATTTATTGAAATTTATTTTCTATTTTTTAGTTGGATTTTCTATAAAAGCGTTTTTGTTAGATTTTTTAAACTATTATTTATTTTTAATTTTTAGTTAAATTTTAATTTTTTCAATATATTTTATTTTAATTTTTTTTTATATTGAGTTTTTACCGGTTCTTAATAAGTATACCAAATTTCGAGTCATTCCGACGTTTTGAAGGGGGTCAAAATCATGTTTAAAGATTCCGTTACATACTAACATACATACGTCTGAAGTTACTATACTTGAGACCTTAGAACTTGTATCTCAAGGTGGGTGGCGCATTTACGTTGTGGATGTCTATGGGCTCCAGTAACCACTTAACATCAGGTGGGCTGTGAGCTCGTCCACCCATCTAAGCAATAAAAAATAATAATAATAATAAAAAGCGTATTAAAAACAGAAACGTTTGAGCAAATTTTGAACATTACATCACATTTAACGGAACAATTTTATCAACATATTTCTTTGCGATGGAATTTTACTACGAGTAGGTATCACCACCCTGCCCATTTTTTTTCCAAGAAGCAATAATGCGTTTCAGTTTGATAGGTGAGGCAGCCGTTGTAAAAACTGAGATTTAGAAACCCTGTCTCAAGGTGGATAGGGGCATATACGTTGTTAGTGTCTATGGGCTCTGGTAACCACTTAACGCCAGGAGAGCCGTGATCTTGTTCACCCATCCTAGAATCAATGATTAAAAACTTAAAAATAATTAAAATGTCTTGACACGAATTTATAAATTATTAATTTACAGCAAAAACAACGTTACCTTTTTGTTTAATTTTCTTCTGTTTCTTGGATGAAAACTTCTGATTAATGGCTCACTTAAATTTTTCAGGTCTCTTCATATTGTCGTCTGTCTTATTATTTTTTATTTACTGTGCTGAAACAATAGACGACCTGTCTGTCCATTTGTTATTAAGTAGTTACCGGAACCCAGAGATCTGACCTATGCCATCCTCAACACCGGAACTCCTGAACACTTTGCATGGAAACGTAATGGTGGTACCTACCGCCTTTATTGTTGCTCTTATTAGGCAGACGAGCATACGGCCCATTTGATGGTGAGTGATTACTGTTGATCATGGATGTTAGCAATGCCAGGAGCTCAAGTAAGCTGCTGTCTATGGGCTCCTAATTTGCCCGACCTACAACCAGTAAATTCTATTTCGCTCTATAAGCCTTAGAATAACATTAATGTATGCACACACATTTATTGAAACCAATAGCAACCCTCCCGTGTTTCAAGTTAATCGAATAAACTATATGGGAGCGTGTTGATTGCGAACAAACAAACAGGGACGTCTGTGTTATTTTATTTAGTAAATATATGGTTGTAGATAGTTTGATGAATGATTTTACAGAAATAGTTCTGACAAGCGATCCAGAAACCAAGAACAAAAAACAAACACGTGTGGCACTCGGGGCTGCCGCGGTAAAGCTATTGTATAAGCATTTTTTATCAACTTATGAAATTATAACTAGATAATAATAATTGAATATTAAAACAATAATAAAATAAGACCACGCTATATTTATAAACATTAACAAAAGCAAAACATTAACTGTTCCCTTCACACTCATAAGCTAGACCGCGCGAGAGACAGATGGGCAGACTTTTCATGATGCGCATGCAGTGCGACGTCACGCCGCGCTCTTATTCACAAACACTACATAAGCGCAACGTATGAATGTGTTGAACGTGAGCTACATGGTAGGCGAAGTGGTGGTGTTAGGTTTTATTTTCGTTACAGAATTTCTTGATTCGGTCGCCACGCTCAAAGCCCGCGATAAAAGCTATGCAATAGCTTAAAAAGTACTTGCAACTATATATGAAAGCGGTTTTGGAAGAAAGGAGTTTCGGGAGAGAGAAAGGATTTTTTTTTTTTTTTAAACAGGTCGACACTTAGTACGCTTATTGGGCCTTTACCATCAATATCAATTCAAAATTCTGTCAATACTTATAGGAGCATCACGAGTACGTATGTTCTAAATTTTAGTTTTGTTTTATTTCAACAGTATTTCTTTTAGTAAAGTGATTTATTACCACGTCGGAGCGAGTGTAGCCTTTAACAGTATCCAACCACATATTATTTCAAAAAAATGATCGTTCTGAAATGTTTTTGAACTGCGATGCGTTAATTTAAATATTTGAAGCGTTCAAAAACTATTTATTTTGTAAGTTCTGTACTAGTATATCTAAAGCGATCCAACATTTTCAATCTTTGGTACGACTTTAGAAGTTCAGTCAGGCTGACACGCAAACTGAAAACGCGGCAAGTGATTCATTTGAACAACCCTCACACGTTTAGTATAGTTCAAGCGTGGAGACACGTAGGGGCCCGCATACCGGAAATTTATCCTTCCCAAACGTCGGTCCCTACTTCGCCTGTATACTGTTAGAAGCGAGTAAATGACAATTTGAATTTCAAAAGTAGGTGGATAAGTTAAGCGCCGCGTGACTTGCGCATTTCACACTGTTCTTGCCGAGCTTCGAGGAGTTGACGTTGACGTGAATCAGTATTTTCCTGAACTCCGTCGGGGGTGGTCGTATCGGCCTCGAAGATTTACGACCCTGACGTGTTTGTACGAGTTGTTATTATATAACTGAGTGCTGTTTGTTTTGTGCCAGCCCTATCGGGAACGGATAAACGGGTCTTCATAAAGGTAAGTTTTTTGAGTAATCATAACTTTTATAAATAATAATCGCAACTTACTGGTATGTATATTATATATTTTCTTTAGGAAACATAAATTATTTATTATTTAATAAGTAAGCGCGCTCGTTACGTTCGTTTAAATTTACTAAAACACTACGAAGGTCATTCTTAGTTTCAAATGATCACGAATGGACTTAATTTTATATTTAAATAATAAAAATACTGATTTACATGCCACATATGCTGGAAGCCTATTTGGAACATTAATATAAGAGATCCAATTTTATGTAAGGGATATTCAGCGGTTAATACTGTTTATACCATACAATAATCTCAATGTTTTTTTTAAAAGTAATTAACCAATATTCGCAAGCATCTTCGATTATTACTGTACTTTCAATTACTTTGAATTCTTCCTAAAAATGGAATACACTAATCATATATAAATTCTTATTTTACGATCAGGAAAAAATAAATCGGTGTAGCATAAAACTAATCCTCCGGTTTCGTAAATTAATTGTTAACATAAATATACCTTTCAGTTTTTCCTAGAATAAGAAAGTTCTCGAAAATTCCATACACACGTTTATTCTTTGCATTGCATTAATGAAACAAGATCATGTTATTATTTTATAGCATATTATGTAATATAATACGTAAATATTTTTTCTACTAACTAAAAATATATTTTGATATCTAGAAATCGAAGCCCGCAGGGAAATAATTTTGCCAACTGCTACCTTCAACAATATATCGATTATTTATTCAATCAAATCGATTGTTTTTGCTATGTATGCTATAAATGCAAACATCGATTCAGACATCAATACAAAACACGACAACGAAAGAAAACAACATTCGCACAATGAATGTTTACCTGAAAATAAATTGCCAGTCTCCGTCCTTTTCAGTGTTTGAACAAAATCAAATACTGCGTCATAGGACAGAACCAATTCGAAAATATTTACATTACTCAGGGAACTTTCTTTGTTTTGTCGAACGGGTCACGAGGGCCTTATGTAGATTTTGTCTATGTTAGATTCATATTCCGAAACTACTTTGTCATTCGGCTATTGACTGATAATCTCTTAGCTCGACGTTGTATTTCCAGATTCAGTTAAAAATTAAATCACCTGATAACTACCAAAAGTCTAAACGGTTTTAAATTGTTAATTGCTGCGGTTTACCAATGTGGTATATGAAGAGCATCTTATATTGGGAACTATACAGCTCTGACAATTGATCCGCTGGAATCATTGTGAAAAATAAACTCGGGGAGGCCAACGGGACAAGACGGCCAGTGTGTTGGGATTACGCTAGTGTTACAATTCCCCAGGCGAGTACCAATCCAAAAATCCAACCCCCAAAACTCATAAATATGCCTATTTACTTATGATGGGGCAAATTGTAAGTCCGCAAGTGTAGTTATCTTCATTCTACCTAATTCTATTGCGAAGGAGTTATGCGTTCCAATTTGCAAAAAGGAAATCCTTATTCGGTATAATTAAATTTAGGTATAGACTTCATGCTCCAGCGTGGGTGATGGAACTCATGCTGTGATATACACGGACTCCAGTACCCGCTTAACGGCAAGCGAGCCGTGAATTTGTTCAGTAACCAGTACCAGTAACCATAAAAAATGAACGTTTAAGTTGCCACAAAAAAGCTAATCTTATTAATATAAGCACGTGTTGAGAGAGTTTTGAAGTAAGCGAAGGCATATGTGTTTATTGCCAGTTTGATACCTGACAATTGACAACGAATGCCAGTTTTACAATGAAAAAAAATGGGAAACGAATAAATGATTATTAAAATACTGGAAACAATTTTAAATTATTTAATAAAATTTCGACTCAAATCATCGCTCGAAGCATTGTCTGAATTTTCTTGGAATTAATAGTATATGAATAATACGAGTTGTAGTCATGATAAATAAACTTTGTGTGCGACCAGTCGATCGTGAATGTGTAATGGACTGTTAAATGCGTAATATATGTTTTAATATACCTGGTAAAGTATTTCAAATATTCGAATTAACATTGCCAAAAATATACAAACTCAGAACAAGAGTGAGTGAAATTAGAAGTGAAAATCAGTGAATTGAGATTTTAACCCATCAATTGTTTACGAGAAGAGTGGGAAGTTCTAGCTTGGAATTAAGTAGTATTAAAATACATACTCTATTAAAACGTAAATGTTGATACTTACCTTGAGGCATGAGCATTTTATGCTTGGCTCGTCCTGGAGGCTAGGACGCATATTAGCTTCCCAGCGGATTCAAACTAGGACGCATAGCAGACTAGACACGATCCTTCTACCTAACCATTCGCATTTATGATACGCCGCATCACGAGTCAATTTGGATTTGCGATCGTGTATGGTACGCAGTATATAATATTCAGAGAATTCTGATGTTCATTCACTAGTATTCACTTAGTTTATTTTTACGAGAAAACATGGAGGTGGTATCATTCTAAGCCACAGTATTTCATATATTTAATACCAACAAATAATCCTGAAAATATTCCGTATTAGTTCTAGAAGGGAAAATTAAATTTTAAATATGAATATTGTTTAGGCTGTAGCCACAAGCGGGTTGTGTTCGAGTTGTTCAGCAGAGTGTAATGTTAAACATAACATTATTAAATCAAGTCAGAGTATCTTACATGATACTAGTCTATTTTACTTAGGTTATTTCGAATATTAAATCGTGGGCTAGGTTTTTTTTAATTTTGAAATTTCGATTTAATACTTAAATGGTTTTTTTTTCAAAGCCAAAATATATTTCACTTTTACAAAACAAAACAATTCAATACGGGCGTCGAGGTGTGGTGTCTTGTTTGCCTTATAATTTGATATTTACTGTAAGTGGATCCCGGATACTCGATAAGCGCCAAGAAAGGTCTCTGAAATTTGAGTATATTCATATGCGATATACACGTACATGCATTGATATTTATAATTAAAAGGCCAGAAACCATCCTTACAACTGAATTTAGTAGGCCAGCTTACTGAATGTTATTACACTTCACTGAATTCAGTCGACTAAATTTAGCCAAGTGTAAGCCTCTAAGCTAGTATTTATACCAGCTCATGTATTCCGGTTTGAAAGGTGGTGCGCTAGAGACTTCGATGTCATTTCTCATTAGTGGCGATATAGATGGATATTAATGGACTCCGGAATCGGCTCCTATCAAGAGATGGGCAATGAGTTCAGCTATTCGCTAAGGGGAATAATAACGTAAAAGTATAATATTTTCTACGAATATTATGTCATCAAACTACGATTTTACTGAGTTTACGTTGTTAAGGACATTAACAATAAAGCAATACGCTATTTCACTCAAATTTATACGTGTCAATTCCTGAATACGTGTGGCCGATACCTCATATCAAAGTTAACAGAATCAGTAAGCGATGAATCTTAATAATGTTGACTGGTGGGTCAATATATTGCTATTTTGGGCATCCAACCAACCTACAAACTTGATTCATTAAGCCTTAGTTATGTGTATTTTGAACACAGACGAATAAACACCAGTATTCTCGAAGCAATAAATCTGTTCCAACTTATAGAATGTCATTCACCATTATTCAATTCATTAATCACTTCAATCAAATTTTTTAAAGGCGGTAACGGTAATTATGCTGTTACATTCATTCTTGTGACCGCCGCGAAATAAATGATTCCCGCTCTACAGTAGCTGAATTCTTTTTTATTTTATTATAATATAAAAAGATGAACGGTTTACCTCGTATTAAGTTGTTATCGGAACCCATAGAAATCACAATACCGTCTTCCCTTAACATAACGTTTCGAATTATTATTGAGGCTTTCGATTTTAATACAAGCTCTCTCGCGTGCTCAAATTCATTTCATTGATGTTTAGGGATAAAATTAAATAACGGCAATTAAAAGATCGGTGAATGTTGAGTTTAGTTTCCGATACATAATTTAACTATAATTCAAGTTCGTAATGATCGATGCTATTAAGAAAGTCAATAAGCGGTGCTGTACTAACTCCATTAAAGAAATGGTCTTTTTTATGAATACAACTAAAATGTTTTAAAAAAAAATTAGATTATTTTAAGGGGAAATCTGTGATTTTTTTATCTATATGCCGTTTTCTTTATAATAGCTGCAGTTTGAAAAGACAGACCGCATACCATCAATTCAGTTCATTAATTCGCAGATTTATTAGGTAACATTCTTTAGGCATTTGAAGGATTGATGCTATGTGTATGATACCTTGCTCATAGATATCAGTGTTGTCATACCTAGACACTTAAATCTCATTTGAAGAAATATTTAGTAGAAAGATAACACCACAGAAGAGATTCATTTCAAAAGCTGACATTACTCAGCAAGTATAATTTCTGTCAACGTATTGAAGATGAGCTGATGCTGTATGAAATCACCACACATACCGAGTACTGAAAAGGTACAGGAGAGAAAATCTAAATATTTAATTTCCAATTATTGTCGCTGACTTTGAATAACAAGCGAGTAGAAAGGACAAAGGCCTATACTCGAAAACTCTCAAGAAATCAAAACAAAATTCCGCCGATTTCTTTAGTAACACAAAATTCCGGGCTCAGGTTCTCTTCCTACCAATTTATTTTTACAAACTTTCCTTTCTCACCTCATTCCTGTCCCTATTATTGAGTTTGTGACGGTTAGTGAAGGAACTTAGCTTTTTGCGAGTTAACGTTGTGTTTCGTTTTTAATAGAAAAAAGAAATATATAAGAAATATAAGAATTCGGTGACCACGTGATTCTTAGGCCTGTGAACAAAAATTCCAAACATTTAACATAATCAATGTACAACCAAAACATCTAAAAAGCACTGATTGTAATAAAAACGACCCTGAATTCCGTAATAATCAAAATATTTTCATTAAACTATGAAATAAGTACTAATCTTCTGACGAACAAATGGTTAGTATTAAGATATACTGACCTAAATTATCAAATAGGCATACCACGAGAATAGTTTGAACATCGAT